AACCACATTAGCCATAGTGATTCGTTCCTCATAACCGGTCACGTGATTTCCTTTATCTGTCGTTTTTGTGTTCAACGTAACATCCGGTGGCCATGACCGTAGATTGACAGGAAGGATTTTAAGGTGTCACGCCCCAATTTCGCTAATTTGAAGATGTTAGGAAAGGTAAATATTCCCTGCCGATTATCGCAAATCCAGATGTACATTTGACCCGCGTCAGGCGATGACTCACGTTGAACATGAGCTTTCACAGACTTACATTTTAAGTGTTGAACTTAAGACGCTCGTCAGACTGGAGATGTCATCAGTGAAGCAGACGAGGTGGCGTGTGGAAGATGGGGGGAAATGTAAGTGAACTGGAATCAAATACAGCTTAGACTAAGTAGTCCGTGCATCTGAGCGTGCACTTTTTGTTTTAACTACTTTAGAAAATTTACACTTGGGAATTCTTTCTTAAAACCGCTGTGTTTGTTTAGCGATATTCTCTCTAATGCAAGGTACGGTATATACATATATTTTTAAATGGATATATTTTTATAAAATATTTTTGGTGGAAATTTCTATTTTAAGGCTAAATTTTGGGTAGGTTTACCAAACCTGACATACTAAAAACGTACGGAAAAGCTGAAATTTTTATCTAGTAGAGACATACATGTATACAAACACGCACACACACACAAACACACACCGAGAGAGAGAAAGAGAGGGAGAGAGAAAGAGAAAGAGAGAGAAAGAGAGAGAAAGAGAGAGAGAGAAAGAGAGAGAGAGAGAGAGAGAGAGAGAGAGAGAGAAAGAGAGAGAGAAAGAGAGAGGGAGAAAGAGAGAGAGATAGAAAGAGAGAGAAAGAGAGAGAAAGAGAGAGAGAAAAAGAGAGAGAAAGAGAGAGAGAGAAAGAGAAAGAAAAAGAGAGAAAGAAAAATAGAGAGAGAGAAAGAGAAAGAGAGAGAGAAAGAGAGAGAGAGAAAGAGAGAGAAATAGAGAGAGAGAGAAAGAGAAAAAGAGAGAGAGAGAAAGAGAGAGAGATAGAAAGAGAGAGAAAGAGAGAGAGAAAGAGAAAGAGAGAGAAAGAGAGAGAAAAAGAGAGAGAAAGAGAGATAGAGAGAAATAGAGAGAAAGAGAGAGAGAAAGAGAGAGAGAGAGAGAGAGAGAGAGAGAGAGAGAGAGAGAGCTGAGTGGGCTGTTAGAAAAATTGTGAATTCTCTCGTGGCTGACTATTAGACAAAAATGCAGACAAGTTTGGATGTTGGTCCACTTTTGCCAGAAGTTTATTTTTGCCTGCAAATCCCCCTTTTTTACGGATCTGGCATATTTGTCTGTAGACTGTTGCTCCCTCACCACTCAGGCAAATACACTCAGATTCCATACACCTTTTCCGGATCCTGGTAGGTAACCGGTTTTCAGGCTGAACTTTCACAGGTGTAAATAGGTCTTGACCACGGCCAGCTCCAGATTTATTAGGCCGCACAGCTCAAACGGGAATTCCCGTTCTTGTGCAAGAATTGAGTCCCTCTGCGTCCACAGTTTTTATCGAGGAGATGTATACGCATATTAAACTACAGTTTCATTAATTTTCGACATATTTTTTAGAACTACACGTCATTTTTAAGGTAAATAAGTGTGCTGAATAAATATAACAATAAAGGCTCTTAGAGACAAACAAAAATGCTTTTTGCTACAGTCAACATGAACATAAACATCAATAACGTTTAGATGTAAACTAAAAGTTGTTCCAGCAAAAGTAAAGAAATATCAATGCTAACTCTTTGATTCTGAGAGGGTATCGTTGCATCAGAGGAGCGGGTGGGGGAGGGGGAGGGGAGGGGTGACATTTGTACTTTATCAAATTCAGCGCATAAAAATACTGCTCTGAAACATACACATATCATACACAACATAAATATAACACATGCAGCCGGACGTGATCTGAACCAAGACCTCCTTCAGCTTTGAACAGTACAACAAGGACATAGGAAATTCCCGTTTCTGTAAAAGTCCGATTGTCCGGTCTGTGTTTGCAATTTTTTTCGAGTAGATTTACACACAGATTAAAACTGCACTTTGATTATTTTGCAGCATATTTTATTGAATGAACTATCAATGTGAAGATAAAGTGAGCTGTTAGAAAACAGAAAAAAAAATAATAATTTAATAGCAAATAAATACACGAAACTATAAATAAGGATGATTTTAAATCAGTAATGAAATAAAAAAAAAAAAAAAAAGAATAGTATTATAGGATGCGGAATGGAAGTATAAAGGGAAAAAATGCCTTCAAATGGTTTGAAGCTGCAACTAGAAATTGTCAAAAAAGAAGTTAACAAAAATCTCCTTGCACTAATAAAATTCTAAGACAGCAGCTTGGAGTAGTGTATCTGATTACAGCAGAAAAAGCATGCTCTGAAGACGACCGTGGTCTGGACCGATTTGAGCGCTTGTCCTGGTGCACTAATACCCCGTTCAACCCCGTAAGAAGTTAATTAGTGCAACTGTAACGGCAACCCCTGGTAGATAATGGCGCACCATGCTGTTCTCATCGAGAGAAGGATGATTCATAATTCAGTAGGCTTCTCTGATGTCACTGGGCGCGCTCATCATCGCACGCACTCAAAAACACCCTCAACCTTCTCACAAGAAGCTGGAGCCACAGCCTAGGTAAAAGTGAGCCGCGACACTGGAAATCGCTGTGATAACAGTGCTTTAACGGTGCGATAACACTTCTGTGGAACTGTCTACCCCGTCGAGACTTGCAATTTTTTTTTAATCTATAAATTTCGCTTTTATACAACTCTCCCTTTCGTAAGACCAGAAAATTGGGGGAACAAGACAGGGAAAACGCTTACCGATTCCACTAGCCGCCGAGTCTTTACAATGTTTGACTCTCCTGTTCCAGTGTTAGGGGAAAAAATGGTACGGTAATTGGAACACTAGGTGAGATCAGATACGGCATGTGTGTTCAAGGAAGAAATCGACAGATATGTAAAAACTTGTTTGCGATAAGCCAGCGGGTAATTAGGGTATCTATAGACTTTTTTCAGATTTTCTTTGTCTTCAAAAGGTTAATGAGCAGGGAAGGAGAAGCGAAAAGGGGTCAAGAAGGCAATAAGGCTTGCACACAGCGTCTCTCTCTCTCTCTTGCTCTCTCTCTCTCTCACTCTGTGTGTTTGTGTGTGAGTGGAAGGGGAGAAGAGTAAAGAGTTTGGGGGGGGGGGGGGAGCGGTTGATAATGTCACAACCTGTCTGCTTACTTGACCAGTAAAAATGTGTGGTTAAGATGTAGGGGTGAGTAAAGATGTGTGAGATGAAACCTGCCTGTGTCTGTGTGTGTGTGTGTGTGTGTGTGGGTGATTGGGGGGGGGGGGGTGTCAAGGAAAATGTCCGTGAAGAGTCAAGAAGGTCTGCGTATTGAGTGAGTGAAGATACTGGGAGGGGGTGAATAAACATGTGGTGAATGGATGATTGAGGTCTGGGTAGAATGTAAACGCGCGCGCGCGTGTGTGTATGTGTGTGTGGATGGTGGGGGGAGGGGATCATGGGTGAAGATATAGAGTAGAGTGGATGCAGATGTGGGGAAGGGATGAGTGAATACTAGGGGAGGTAGGGAAGATGTGGAGAAGACCGCGTGAAAATGTGAAGCTGGAAGAGACGAGGGAATCAAGAGAGAAGAAAGTGGTTCAACCTGAGGGCTAGTTGTCGAAAAAAAAAATAACAGACGAACAAGAAACACCAAAAATAAAACGGATATATATTTAAGCAAATACATGGACGGGGCGATTGGCCAACATACAGAAATGTGAATGTCTGGAATAAAAGACTGACAGACAGATGCACAGACAGACAGATACACCAACAAGCAGCTAGACAGACAGACAGACAGACAGACAGACAGACAGACAGACAGACAGACAGACAGACAGACAGACAGACAGACAGACAGACAGACAGACAGACAGACAGACAGACAGACAGACAGACAGACTAGCCATGCAGACATACAAACAGATCGACATAAAAATATAAACAGATCCCAAAAAAGTTCTGAGGCTAGCAAAATCTCTACACATTAGAGGCTAGACAGAAACCAGACAATAAATGGAAATGAATGGGCTAGCCATCTTCCGGAGAGACAGATACATAGATCCATTCACATTAGTTCACAGAGCGCGGCGAAAGGCGTGGAATGTGGTAGTAATTTGAGGAGTACTTTCAACTGTTTGCTTGTAAACAGATAGTGACATCAAAAGGATGCGAACTAGACAATAATCTACACAGGGCTCTCAGTGGCTGAGCGGTTAGGACTGGTTGCTTCACGCTCTGATAGTTGTGAGTTTCCTTCTGCGTCTTTCAGGTCAACAGGCAACATTTACTGAGATCCCAAGGAATCGTCGCCGGGGCTACCGAGTTCTTTCATTGTGGGGTGCTCTCAGTAAGTTATTATACAGAGACAGACTAAGCTATTTAGGACAAAAACACACGTGATGATGATGATATCTCATACTTTATCTTCGTGTTGGCGTTCACCGGTTATTAACTTGTGCGAAAAGTTCTGGTTGTTTGTCAATTTCTGGACTTTAATCTGGTTCTGAGACTTGATCTTTGTGCGTATCCGTTTTACAGATATACCTGTAGATGTATTTAACTTTAAAGAAAACTTCCATAATTAGTTGCATTTTACAACATGCTTGGGTAGAGGGGTGGTCTATTCTAGTCCCCCCCCCCCCCCCCCCCGGGCACACAGGAATCTCGAAACCCACACGGGAAATCTGTGAAACAAGTTCACGGTATTGATCCAGGTCCACGGAGGAAAGACATGCGTAGATCAGTTAGCATGCGGAGAACGGTATTCAGCGAGCGTTAATCTGGGGAAGTACGGTATTAGCGGAACTTCGAGCTGTGATATGTTTGGACATGGTGGAGTTTACACAAATACGAGAGGCAATAATCCTGAACAATTAGGGCAGCTTAGGAAAACGTGTGGAGAGGATTAGAAGAGATAATCCTACCTTCTGAGACTTGCAAATAGTTGGCAGAAGCTGTACTTCATGGGTCATGTGTCGGCCATCGCGAGCGCATTGGCAGCATACCGGGAGTCGACATGACAAACAGAACATCCCCAAGCTCTCTATAGGATGTTCGTTACATTTGTGTTCTTTGCTGTTTTTCCGTTTGTATTTTAGAATGATGTCCCCCTGTGTTGGGTCTACTAGGTTGTGTTTGGCGTACATGCCTTCAGATGGATGGCACTGTTCTCTGCAGATGTCGCAGAAAAACACCTCACATTGTTCACACATAGCAGTTGCTGGGCGATGGTCGATCAGGCAGCGCTCACATTTAATTTCTACCTTCTTGCTTTGGTTTTGATATTTATGAACTATAGCTTCCAAAACCCTGTTTGTTGGCAAGGAAAGCGCGCCGTTTTCATCCAAGAAAACCAGACGTTCGCAGACAATACATTTGATCCCATAGGTACAACTCTGAAGGCTCTGAAGAAAGATGTTAGCCACACTAGGCGTACCCACGTAGCTGCTGGGGCGGCTGTTGCAGACCACACCACTGTCTGTCTCGCTGACGATGCTCAGCTTGTCGATCTCCGGAAAGTCCAAGAGACTTATCCGATCACTGATGACAGTGCCGCTGTCTGTCTCAGAACAAGCGGAGGACATTGATTGTGGGAAGAGGTTCTGTGCTGGTTCTTGGCAGCTCAATGCACAGGCAACGCATAGTGAATGAGAACAGGGCATCAGAACCGGTTTGGTGAAGAATCTACGACACACTGGGCACCTCAGCTCGTCTTCCATTTCCGAATTAAGAAAGATTTCCTATAAAACACAAATTGAATCTAGCTGGCTAAGTAATGATTCCGTTCATAACAGGAAGAAAATTCCCCTGTTATTTTCACTGTTATAAATCCTTGTTGAAAAAATACATGATCCTCTTGAATATATACACACAAAAATCAAGCAACAAACGAGCACCAGATCGTCAGTAATCCAGTCCGTTCAAAGGTAATCCAAGGGCAGGTAATACAATACACATCCTGAATACGGCACGTCTCTTTGTACAAGTCCAGAAGAAAGTCCAAATAAAGCGGTCCAGTTTCACATCACGTCTGGAGATCAGACAGGCTGGAGTGCTCGCCCCTGGAAGAACACCTTTGGTAACACAAAATAAAACCAGAGCAAACGTTAAATATGAGAAGTGTAAGTGAAGACGTTTTGACTACAGAGAAAACCAAGAAAGGGATAGTTCCTTTCAAGACTTGGCTACATAATAAACAAACACGCACACAAGGAAACGCACACACACTCACTCACTCACACAGGGGCAGCAGTGTGAAGAAAACCAGACTTTCAAGATCGTCAACTTCCTTTCCCCTTGTCACTTATTAACAAATACCCACCACGTTGACAGAATATAATAGATAAGAAAATAACTTGTACAGATTTTATGTTTCTTTCGTTTTGTTCAGTATCAACTAAAATATTTAATTGAGATCTCAAATAATTTTTCAGCATTTCGTGCACATCTTGGAGCGGCTGGAAATCTACCTGCATTTTCCCAACCAAACATAGAATGTCTCTAACACATGCCCGTCAGTAACGATTACGTTATAAAAAAAAAAAAAATAATAAAAAATCAATATATCAATCCAGTGACCAGTCAGTCGGGTACAGTTTCCACGATAAAGTTTCTTCTTCTTTTTTGTTCTTCACTTCTTTTTCTTCTTCTTCTTCTTCTTCTTCTTCTGCTTCTTCTTCTTCATTCATTTCTTCTTCTTCTTCTTCTTCTTCTTCTTCTTCTTCTTCTTCTTCTTCTTCTTCTTCTTCTTCTTCTTCTTCTTCTTCTTCTTCGTCTTCATTCATTTCTTCTTCTTCTTCTACTTCTTCTTTCTTCTGCTTCTTCTTTATCTTCTTCTTCTTTTTCTCATTCTTCTTTTTCGTCGTCTTGTCTTCTTCTCCATTCGCATTGAAAGAGACGGTTGCTACGTTGTGTTATGGTTTACAGTTAGACTATATCTGCACCTTCCAGCCCAGTACAGATTTTAGCAAAGGTCTGACTAGTAGCCTTGCACGACATGCTTGTCTTTTGGGGGAAAGAGATAAAGGGACAGTGGGATACCCGCCCCTGCCCCCTCCCCCGGCAACATAGGACCCCGAAACCCATCCAGGGACAGTGGGATACCCACCCCGGCCCCCTCCCCCGGCAACATAGGACCCCGAAACCCATCCAGGGGCAGTGGGATACCCACCCCGGCCCCCTCCCCCGGCAACATAGGACCCCGAAACCCATCCAGGGGCAGTGGGATACCCACCCCGGCCCCCTCCCCCGGCAACATAGGACCCCGAAACCCATCCAGGGGCAGTGGGATACCCACCCCCGCCCCCTCCCCCGGCAACATAGGACCCCGAAACCCATCCAGGGACAGTGGGATACCCACCCCGGCCCCCTCCCCCGGCAACATAGGACCCCGAAACCCATCCAGGGGCAGTGGGATACCCACCCGGCCCCCTCCCCCGGCAACATAGGACCCCGAAACCCATCCAGGGGCAGTGGGATACCCACCCCGGCCCCTCCCCCGGCAACATAGGACCCTGAAACCCATCCAGGGGCAGTGGGATACCCACCCCCACCCCCTCCCCCGGCAACATAGGACCCCGAAACCCATCCAGGGGCAGTGGGATACCCACCCCGGCCCCCTCCCCCGGCAACATAGGACCCCGAAACCCATCCAGGGACAGTGGGATACCCACCCCGCCCCCTCCCCCGGCAACATAGGACCCCGAAACCCATCCAGGGACAGTGAACTTTGACATCAGGGCTCTCCAACACTTGATGTCTGTCGACCTGGTTGTGTGTTTTCTCAGACTGCTCTTCGTCTATCAGTTAATTTCCTCCCACATGTATCCTTGTCTACCTCTTGGTCGCCCGCCTTTAACTTTTCCAACCAATGTGATTTCTTTAAAAATTATCATATCTTTTAATGGGGTAGAATTATTCCACGTTTTTTACTTCTCCTCCCGACATAAAAAAAAATTCTTTACCGACGATCAAAACCGCACGAGAGAGCCCAAAGCCCTAACTACTGAACCAAGCTCTCGTCGCAAACTAATTGATCAGGCCAGAAACTGCAATCAATCGGTTTTCCCTCTTTGTTGGTATGACCAAACATGACCTAATAGACGCAGAAACGAGTATGGGGAGAAGAATGGACAGAACAGATATCAACGCTGTACGGACTGTGCTATTGGATAATGACGAATCTCTGACACTAATACGATTGTGTGACATGGAAGTAAATCACGATGAAGAACGTCTACCCCAAGCGCCTTCGAGGCCGAGATAAGAAACATGGTAACCAGCTCCTTACGGGAACGATCAGAGGTACCCTGGAGTGGCTGCTGCATCGGAGGACTGAGCAATCATGGGAATGCCCAATGTGCAGTTACATCGATCGATTGTGATACCATGACACCACATAGTCATGGCCTGCAATTACTCCTCAAAATAGCTTGTAAAACACATATTTAGAGCATCCTCACTCAAAGTTAATTTTAAAACTGACACGTAAACGACGAGGCTTCGAGGAAACCAAATCATCTTCAAGGTAATTTCACAGATACTGCCAAACTACAAACTAGAAACTGTCAAAAACACGATTCCTAAATAGCCTTGCCACACTGACAAACTAAAAATACTTGTAGGTAATTTTTTGCGATGTAAATATGGGATAGGAATAAAATACAGTACATTCTGTTATTCACAACACTCACTGTTTTTGGAAAATCAATTACATAAGACAATTCCTTTAGGAAAAAATACACAAATATGCCTATAAATTCCAATCCTTAAATTCATTAACTCTAAAATTCTCTGTGTATAAATAATTTTTTTCGTAAACGTAAAACTGATACAAAAATGAGGCTATTACTATTAAATTTGGCACTGTACCAGTCGACTCCGCTTTCGCGTAGAATAAATGAATGGATTTTCACAACACAAGCAGAAATGAGAAGCGACCTCGCCAACTCTCCGTTGGGGACTGTAGTGCGGCCGAGTCAGTGCGGGCGCGAGTGGAAAGGTGGCTTCTCGGTAGAGCCCGCGCGGGGGCCACTCTATCATCGAGTGTTGTGAGCTGTGATGACAGCTCGAGGTGTGAGAGGGGAGGAGTTAAATTTGTTTACAAACAAATGCACGTGACAGCTGGCACGTGGAGCTAAAAAATAGGTAGTCGTTTTGGACAGGTGTGTCTGTGAAAGTAGGTTGCGTGTCTGTCTGTCTGTCTATCTGTCTGTCTGTCTGTCTTTCTGCTTGCCTGTCTGACTTTTTTCTCTTTCTTTCTTTCTTTCTTTCTTTCTTTCTTTCTTTCTTTCTTTCTTTCTTTCTTTCTTTCTTTCTTTCTTTCTTTCTTTCTTTCTTTCTTTCTTTCTTTCTTTCTTTCTTTCTTTCTTTCTTTCTTTCTTTCTTTCTTTCTTTCTTTCTTGCGTCTTTCATTCCTTTTTGTGCCGGTGCCTTTATCCGCGTTCTTTCTTTCTTTACAGATCTAACATATTTGTATGCAGACTATTCGTTCTTTGTCTCTAGAACAAATGCAGTCTAACTTCGAAGGAAGCTCCCAATTAGCCGATCTGTTGGCGAGGCATTTGGCCTATTCTTGTTTTCTTCCCACACTAGGACACCGGAACTCACAATGGAAGCCACTATTTTCACCCAGCAGCTTCTTCAGCATGATTTGTTGCCGTCGGGGCCCTGCAGAACTAAACAGTTGAACAGAGCTCACCAAGACACTCATCCTTGATGTGTAAATGCTACGGACTGAAGACTGAACTCTTGGAACGGACACACTTCAACAGCAAAGGGAGAACTAGATAAGATCAGCAAAACAATGTTTCCTGGCTATCACTTTCTCATTGCTCATATATCCCATACTCTCTTGAAATTCCTTGGTTAAACGGTGACTTTTAAACAATTTACACATTTAAGGTGATAGTTTTTTTTTTTTTATCGATCACCGGCTGTGAATTCCAGTGGAAGGTCCCGGTTAATCGTCCGCTTGGACTTTTGGCTTTCACCTGGACCTGATTTTTGCGTGTGCAACCGTTTTTCATTTCCCTGCCTCGTGGGCAGCTGTACTCCGACTTCGAAGGAAGACGTCAGGCCTATTTCTAGGTTGACTGTGGCCATTGTTTTGTGTGGGTCGAGACGTTGCCTGGTTTGTGTGGTGTCCACTTTGTCTCCTTCTCCGCAGGTATTGCCCTCGGAGTACCCCTTTGGGGCAGCCCCCTGTAGAACAGTTAGCCCTCAAGGGAAGGCAGGGGCAGATCATGGGCATTCCCCGCCATCCAAGGAGGCTTCCATGCATGCAGAGCCGGCACATGGCGCTCTGGTTCTGGGCTCACCCAAGGAATCGTCACGTCCTGCACATGTCTGCTTAACCTCACAACCGTATCAGGCCTCCCGCTCGACAGGGGCTGCGCCCTCTGGAAGTCAGCGGGGAGCAGCCCGTGGGTTTTGGACTTTTGTGACCACACAGATAGGTACATTCTTTTTTTCTTCGCACGTTAGATTTCTTTGACGAGCCGTTAGCCCGACATAATTTTACATCCTGCATCAGGCATATCGTTATCAGTTTTGTCCCAACACTCGGGCGAGTGGGGTCTTTGGGTGTGGACATTCGGTCTTTTTCAGTTCAATACAAATTTTGATGGTCAGATTTTGATCCGTATGATCTAGTTTTGTCGGACAATTAGGCTTAGCCGTCCGATGGATGGTTGCTGTTGTGGTGTACCTCAGCGCGGTG